AAAATGTCAAAAATACTATTAAAAAAGATATTTAAATATCTCAACTTCAGTGACTTTCTTACTAATGGCTTCCCTCTGTCTTTTCTATAAATATTTTCATGGTATTTGTTCTAATGCATTTTCCTCCTTGGTATCTCAACTGTATCAATTTAAGCATGCTATTATATTGGCAACTAGGTCTCACCATTTTACTGTTGAACTGGCTAGATGGAACTGTATGTTTTATTTTAATAATTTATTTTCTTGCACATCTTGCCTGTGGAGGACTCTTCCATTTTCTTGCTTCCTTGCTACCTACAATCTTCAATAATGCAACACCAGTTGCCATCTTCTGTTTTCCTGAATCCTGTTCTTTTATTGTCCTTTCTTCTCACTTCTCCTCATTTAATTTTTCTCATTCTCTTTCAGTCCCAGTAATCCCTTGCATCTTAGTGGCTTTATTGCTTTGCTTGAGGTGAAATTATTAAAAAATATATACTTGGAATCTGAAAATATAATTCTTGAGAATATAAAGAATAACATGTTTTTCTTAGTTTACGTAAAAGTAAAATTTTAACCAGGGCCTGTGCATACTACCACCGTCCCACCAGGGTTGGGCGAGGCACCAAGCCTGATTGGGTGCACAAGCAGTGCTTTGTGACCCTGGCCAGCTTACTAAAATTTGCCTTTTTCTACCTTTCTTATATATGCTATAAATTAAGCACAACTGACTAATAAAGGATGAAAAATCTTTGCAGTTTCTGATGTCATTCTGGAGGGAGGTCCAAATCTGTGTATTTTTTATCCATAATGTGTTAAAATTCTTCAACTTTTTACAAGAAAAATCTCAAGTTGATGTTAAAACATTGCTGTAAAACATTGTTGATTTATTTAAGATGGAATGATCTATTATGACATGTCTCTAATTTGTATTTAGATACATTGTATTTATTTTCAATTTTTCTAGTTGAATTGTTCAACTATATTGCATACGATCCATTATTGTACATAATTAGGTTACAATAAAATTTGTATTTTATATGAATACAACCTTATGAAAATTGAGATATATTAGAGTGCTGGAGAACATATAGATTCGATGGAGACACAATCCTTACACAGGCCCTGATTTTAACCATGCACTAAGATATGGAAACATATACAAACATTCATTCAATGCTGTACACTCTCACTCACTGAAGTAACAAGATCAAGTAATGTTTTTTTTCTTCTTTTTGTTTCCTTTTTAATGCCATGTCTTTTCAGAATGTCTGCAATATTACCTCTTGATATACTCCTTTCTTTATTATTTATAAACTGCTATAACCTCCTGGGAAAGATTGGGCAGCAGTTTCCTTTGGCTTTCTCCACAGTTTTAAATTCAGAATAGTCCTTCTCCTAGACTGGCTACCATTGAAGGTAGAGAGATCAGTCTACCCTGCTATTTTTCTATAGCTGAAGCAAGAACAAATGGATTTATGCCTTTCAAACAGGCAACAGAGTGAAAGTGAATGCAGACAATTAGGCTAGAACTGAACCTACTTTCTGTGCCACTAACTGTTAAGCTACCTGCACAACTTAGTAGTAGTAGTAAATAAAAAACAATAGAAATTCTACATAAATAATAAATAGTAAAGGGATGGGTGTTTAATCTGTTTATTTATTTAATTCTCTGATGACTGAAATGCTTGTAAACTGAAAAACATATATATTTGAACCAATTTAAGAATTCATTATCTTTTCTATCTCTTGATATGATAAATATGAACTGGCAAAAATGTTATTAAATTATTTCAACTGACTTTCAATGCTAATATTCTTGTTTTCTATGACATTCTCTTAGTGGTAATCTGCATTCAATTCGATTTATACTGGGAAATTGGCCTGCAAACAGATATTGAATGACAGAAGACAACAACAAACAAAATGAAGACTTGAATAAAAAAATATATTGCCAAGTTAATTTTTGTTAAAGAAAATACACAAACAAAAATAATGTTACAGTGCACTAAGCAAAAAAAAAAATAACTCTGCAATCTCATGTATAAGGTGAGAATAGTGTTGTTCTGAGAAGGACAATTTTAGTAGTCATTGGAGAGCATTGTCCTGAAAAGGACAGTTTATTTGCATATCAATGTTTCTGATTTGAGCGAGAGGCCTGTTGGAGCAGCAGAAGCTTGTGGCCAACTGGAGTTGGCTGAAGCTGTGGGCTGGCTGTCCACTTCTGGAACAGATACTACACTATGATCCTTCTAATTGTGATCACAGAGTGCTTGTTGTAGTTATACAAGTCTCCCCACTGAGATGGGATGTGACACAAGGTTGGATTTATTGTGGGGATCTTGAGTGCATACACTCAGACCAATTGCACTGGCCTCAGTAGCAACTACCAATCCCCTCTTGCTAGTTCAATGTGAGGGTGCGACCTCGGGCAGCTGTTCCCCAGGACTGAGTGCCTTGGTGATGACCACCAATCTCCCTTACTAGTGCAATGAGAAGGTGCAGACTTGGACAGCTGTTCCCCATGGCCGAGCACCTCAAAGTATTATTTTCCCCAGCTGCATCTCTGTCCATGGACAGAGCTACAACTGACAGATGATATGTATCCCCCAGCAGGGCTGTGGAATTCTTGATTTTTTTTTGTTGCTTGTGAGGCCTCTTTATATGCCAAGTCAGTCTTACAACAATGCTGGTTAAGCTTTTTTTCCAGTTGTTTTCAAAAATTGTGGGAATGCCGACAGGATACGACATTCTAATACAAGATTTGCTCACCAAACAATTTTAAAACTGGAAGGAAGAAAATAATTGCAAACATATCCATATAAGTAATCAATATTTGGGTTAAATAAATTTTGGCATAAGGCCAATATGACAAATCAGAAGATTGAGGGAAATATTTACAACCAACATTGTACAAATCTCGTAAGTCAATGTTATGTGACAGATCAATCATCAATATAACTCTGTAGGAGATCAATACTTATTTAATATAAAGCTATATTTGATTATTTGTATGGGCACATGGTCAAGCGATTAGAACGTTCTCTTTCTGACCATGAGGCCCCAGTTCAAATCTCACCAGGAAGGTAACTTCTTGATGTTATTGGTCTGAAGAAGGCAATCTGAAAACCATATCATGGGTTGAACCAAGTTTTGTGAGTGAAATTGGGTGGGCTGAACCCTTGAGGAGCCATTGGTGGTTGTGCTAGCATGAAGTCACAGGTCATCGTGACCGAGAGTTTGAGTGTGCTGGCCTTTTTCAGACTGTTGAGCATGCTAGATAACATGCTCCCTCCCAGAATCTGTAACTAAGGTCCACTCAGCATAGTTGCAGTATAAACCAGAGGTGGGCTCTGTGGGTGTTGAACAAACAAAAATGTGCTTGAGCAGGTGTCTGCAATGGGGATTAGCTAGCCACTCCAGTAGATGGGCATCCTCAAATATGAGTGGCCAGCCACTCTACTTTATTATTTACACTATTTACATTGTTCAGACTGTTGTGCGCATCTTCATTGCCATATTGACAATGTTTCGGCCATTGTATGCTTTGGCCTTGGTGACTGAAATTTTGAACTAAACTCTTTATTTAATCCACTGGGGTAGCTTGTTCTAGTTCCACATGCCATGCCTCTTTCAGATATCTCAATTTCAATTTCAGTTATTTCCCTTTAACTCAACTCTCCAAGTTTTTGTTCACCTCTGCTGTGGCCAGGTGTTGAACTCACAACTCTTTGGGTCAAATTACTGGATTACTTCAACCAATGCTTCTATTTACTGGGCCATATATCCTTGAGGAACTAGAACATATTATCCCGGTAGACAAGATAAATAGTTTGGTTCAAAATTCCAATCACCTGAAGAAGGCCAGAAAATACAACAGCCAAAAAGTTATGATGAGGACAACAGTCCAAACAATGTAAATAGTACAAATAATTACAATACTTCATCTCAGAAATATAGACAGCTATATTTGATCTTTTGATATATTAATATTGTTAATCAAATACTTACAATACAACCCTTAAGTATGCTTTTGAGAATTACTAAGATCTTTTATTTAGCCTTTTTAATTGTTTCAGGATGAAATTGTAAATAATTTTTAAATTCTAGATGTAAATCATTACATTTACACAGTGATAAAAAAAAAAGTAATAAATGAAAAAACAACTAGAAAAAATTTTGCATATAGATAATCCTACTGCTGGTGTATTTATGGTTCTGAAAGGCTTCCATAAATTCCTATGTCTGCTTAAAATGGCTGAGTGTCACAGAACAATTCCATGCCAGTTTACCAACCTACACTAATTTGGAGGAGGGAGTAACAGAAAAATGCTGCCAATTCTTGTGTTTTGGGAATTGGTTGTTTGAAGAATTGATTGGTGCATTATAAAGTAGGACATGAGCTGACCTGAACAAAGGTAGGTCATGCCCCTCCCACCCTAATACCAAATACAGCCAGTATGTGTGTGTGTGTGTGTGTGTGTGTGTGTGTGTGTATATATATATATATATATATATATATATATATATATATATGTGTGTGTTGTCAAGGTAACACTGTCACCTAGATATAAGGTTGACCCTAAAATAAAAGTGCTCTTACTGGGTTGAGATGTGTTCATTAGATGTTTTTTTGTGAAATCAGAAATAATGTGATCTTCGTTAAGTCAGGGAAAAAGACTTATTGAAATAAAATTTAAAATACATATGGAATTTCCCTAATCTTTTAAAAAAATAACTCATGAAATTTGAACATCTTCATCTGGAAAAGAAATAAAAATAAACGAGTGATTATTAATAACTCCCATGTAAATAATGTATTACATAATTCTTTAATAAAATAATGTTATTTTCTGTCAAGGTGAAATGATTTTGATAATTTTATGAGATTTTAGACTGCTGCTTTTAGCAACTGATAGGCCAGTTCTAACATTACCTTTATTATTTCTAAATATTTATTATTATATCTCAAATATGCTAAACCTGAACAGGATCACAAAAAATGCACCACTGTATTGTGAATGTATTTTTTTGGTGTTCATGCCAACCAAAGATTTATACCATTAAATCTATTTAAAGTACACACACACACACACACACACACACACACACACACACACACACACACACACACACACACACGTGTGTGTGTGCACATTCTCCTTTCTTATTCTTCAGGTCTATCATGAACTGTTTATATCCATTTCACTTTGTTCCTGTTTATGTATTTACCTATCTCATTCTGTACCTTCTCATTTATTTATTTTGCTTGTTTTCATCTATCTATCTATCTATCTATCTATCTATCTATCTATCTATCTATCTCAATCTATTCCTTATTATCTATTGTTCATTTCTCCTTATCTATTTATCAATTTATCTCAATCTGTTTATATCCATATATCTATCTCATTTTGATCTCTCTCTCTCTCTCTATCTCAACCTGTTCTTTATTATCTATCTAGCACATTTCTCCTTCTTATCTATCTCATTTCTACTTCTTATCTATCTATCTATCTATTTCTACTTCTTATCTATCTCTTCTTCTTATCTATCTATCTATCTATCTATCTATCTATCTCATTTTTCCTTCTTATCACAACTGTTCTTTATTATCTATCTAACTCATATCTCTTTATCTATCTCATTCTACTGCTGCCTATCTATCCCATTCTACTGCTATCTCTCTCTCTTTCCTGTTCTAATACTATCTCTCTCTCCGATTCTACTGTTATCTCAATCTCTCTCTCTCTATCTCATTCTACTGCACCCTATCTATCTATCTATCTATCTATCTATCTATCTATCTATCTATCTATCTATCTCATTCTACTACTACTATCAATCTATCTGTCTATCTATCTATCTAGACAAAAAATCAGCTGGTAGATGTATGCTTGCAACCATCCATACATATATGCATGCATACATACATATATGCATACATACACACAGGCATATGCACATACATATATGCATATATACCTATTTACATGTATACATGCCTAACAACATGTGAATAAGGGGATGCTGAAAACTTCTTGACCTGACCAAAAATCTCTCCCTTAAAATATAAAGATGTATATAAAAAAGTGTGCAAACGTTTTGCTCTCTCCCTTTACCCACATACTGTCTTAGAGATAGGATTTGTCTCATTCCACTATAGGAGACTTATCAGTCTCAAGCAAATCTAATGTTGCATTGAACACAACACAGAATAGTACACAACACACAAATGACCTAAGCTAAATTGATTACACATCTAATTTTTGTGATGTCAACGAACACTTGTTGCCACTTTTGTAATGCTCATTGTAGTAGAGACTTTGTAATTGCAGATACAACTATAGCAATGCTGTTGAATAATACTGGTATCAGACACCTTTGAATAACACTTGCACTAATAGTTCTTGCTCAATAATACTCGCTCGAATAGTAACCACCAAATAGTAATCTGTATAGTGATCAGTATAGAGAAATAGTATAGTGAATAGTATAGAGAATAGTGATTTGTATAGTAATAGAGGATAGAGTAGAAAGATGATCATATAGATGCCATGCTAATTCCCATATATATGTTTCCTTTATCATCACGTGGTCTACTTATTAGAAGTGGGATCACCTGTGTTTGCTCTCTGGTGATCTATGTTCAAACTACAGTGTCAGCAACAACACTTTATTTCTTATATGACACTAATGATTCTACTAAACCAATAAAGAAGTATTCTCAGATTTAAAACTTTCAAAATCTTTCATAGGAAATGCACACACACATATATTTAGGGTGTATTAAAAATACTTTTACAAACTTTGGGAGCAGGTTCCACACACAAACTAGAAAAATTGAAAATAAATACAATGTATCTATATACAAATTATAGAAATTTCATAATAGATCATTCCATCTTAAATATATCAACAATGTTTTATGGCCATGTTTTAACATAAACTTGAGATTTTTCTTGTCAAAAAGTTGAAGAATTTTAACATTATGGATAAAAATAGTGCATTTTATATAATGTTCTTTTGCATGAGCAAAACAAATTCATGGATTTGGACAAGAAAAAAGACCCTAGAATAGCATCAAAATCTTCAAACATTTTTTTATCCTTTAATAGTCAGTTGTACTTAGTTTAATTTGCAATATAGATAAATGTAGGTAGAAAAAAAAGCAAATATTGGTAAGATAGTAATGTTCACAAAGCACTGCTCAGGGCCCCCAATCAGGTAATAAAATAAGTTATTGTTAATTGTACATAATTGTTTTATGTATTCATACTTATATCAATAAATATCCCTTCAACAAATTGTAGAATATGAAAAGAGAAAAGAATATCTCAAGTGTATGATAACATATTTAATTCAGCATAAAAAATTAGATGTGCTGATTCTTTGTTAATCAAATGGCATTACTCAGCAAGAGAACTAGCATGATGTGTTGACACATGTAATTTCTGTTATTTTTTTCTTACATGCAGAAGTTTGGCATCTCAAGAAGAGAATCAAACTATTGGGTCAGCAAAAAAAAAAGAAAAGAAAAATGGAAACTTTACATGTGTTCCAGAACTGCTGAAAGGGGAATTCATTATATCTATCAGCAAATGTTTTTTTAGAAATTTATTGATTAATGAACTTTATTGTTATTCTGAAAGAAATAAAAAATTAAAGTACTATTCAATAAATATAGATTCCTCTTCAAACATTTCATACATTGATCAATTGACATTTACTGTTCAATACAATCAAGGCTGTGACCCTGCAAGTTGTTTCATCATTCATCATCTTTTCTTTTTCATGGGTCAAAGAATCACTGTTAAAATTTTCCTGTATAAGAACTAAATTCTGCAATTAAACTGCTGTTGTCAGTCATATGACAAAGCCTCAAATATGTCTCAATGCTCTACTGGATTGCAAGCATGAATCAGTCAATTAAATGAGATCACCAATTATGTCCCCTGTTGCTGAAAGAAATGTCCAGAAAATATATTTTTTCAAAATTTATAATTACAGTTACTTGTCGTTAGGTTTATTTAAATTTTCTTGCTCACAGACACTTATAAATTTATCAAAAAAAAAATTCTTTTCAGATCAGTTTCTTTATAAAACAATAAATAATAAATATTTCATTTTAGTTGGTTCAAATATTTTTTATAATCTTGTAAATATAAAATTATTCTTATAAATAAGCAATCTAATAAATAAATAGTTTTTAATATCTTTGTTTTAAATTCTCAAGAATAAGGAGAATGTATAAATTCATTTTCATATATTTGGGTTTTATTAAAATTCTAATCTTCACTTTTTAAAACAATAACCGAGGAAGTCAAAAGTGTATACAGTAATAACAGTGCAAAAGGAATAAACATCCTTTTGACACACCATTGTTTTGCAGGTATAAAGGTTAAACATTGCCAATTATTTCATACTTCAACATCTCCATCTCACAGTACACCAATTAATTATCCTTTAAATGCTGAAATATTTGTGCCTTTCAAGGCTTATGATATATTGTTCAAGTGTTTGTGCTAATTAATCATCACTTTACAGCATGTTTAAACATTGATTTTGTTGAAAGTACTAATAAATCTATAGAAAAAACTGGCTGGTGAGATTCAATGCCTCAAAAACCAAACTAGTTATATTCCATCGTTGCTGATCAGGCCCTAAACTACCATCAGTCAAGATGAACGGCTGTTCCATCAGGGAGGTCATGTGCCTTGAGCCTTGAGCAACTATTGAACCTCAAACTTAACCCAGACCTTAAGTGGAACTTGTACATATGATCCATCCCTAAAGATGCAGGAAATGGATGGTCTGTTCCCTGTGCTGCTCCAGTATATGTAGTGATTTTCCAAGCGTAGCTTAGATGTGGCACAAGGCCAAAATTAGGGGGTACCCAGTGAGGATCGAACTCACTACTCAATCGTAATTGTTCTAGCGAGCCAAGCTTGCTAACCATTACACCGCCTCAAGGTGCCCCTGCTCCAGTATATATATGACTCCTTGTGCTATCCTCTACCTTTACAAGAGCCAGATCAGGCTAAAATGGAATACTGCTGTCATATTTGGCAGGAATTACCAAGTCCTCACTTTTCAGACTCGACAAAGTCCAAACACATCTCCATGTTATTGTGGGTGACAAATTATTTTCCACCCTGCAATCCCTCTCTCTCACAGACAAGATGTAGCAAACCTCTCACTACTCTATTCCTACTTCCATGGAAAGTGCTTTGATGAACTACATTCTTTAGTTCCACCAGTTCTAGCCTTCATGGCAAGGATCCACCATACTATGCACATTGTAGTGAACCACCCCATTCTCTCTGTATTTCATTGGTAAGAAGTAAGTTCCATTCAAGCAGCTCCTTCCTGCAAACCACTGTTCTGTGGAACCAACTCCCAAGAGAATGTTTTCCTGATCACCACAATCTTAACCTGTTCAAGTCTAGGGTTAACCATTATCTTCCCCATCTATAAATTATGCCTCTTACTCTGTAACCCTCTACCTCAAGTGGCTCCTGGGCATTGTACAGAGTGAACTTTACTGTAAGAAAAAAATAGGTTTAATCTTATTAACCATTTAAATTTTTATTCTCATGAGTATGTAGAAATCCCAGTGCATTGTGTTGCAATGCTTTAAAACTGCTGTTGTGAGTGTGAAAAGAGAGAAAATCAATAGGGCAAATATGGAAATATGTACCCACAATAAGATGCAGTATCAAAAGGTGGTTTTTTCCCCATTACACTACTTTTTAACTATATTCACTATTCTGCAATGTTTATTGTTCTAAAAAGCGGTGATTAGAATTGGAATAAAACTTAAACATATAAGAGGAATTTATACATGAAAGTGAATTTATACATTTCTTTCTATTTTCAAGAACTTAAAACAAAAAATGTTAAACCCTATTTATTAGATTGCTTATTTACAAGAATAATTTTATATTTATAACATTCTAAAAACTAATACAATTAGAACTAATGCAATGCAATATTTATCACTTACCAATTTATAAAGAAATAAATACAAAAACAATTTTTATTCATAAATTTATAAACATTTCCTAAATTATTAAATCCTTTTTATTTACCATTTTCTAAAGTTCAAATCAATTGGCAATTAGTTGATGTTTTGGCAACCATTCCAATAAATAATATAATAAATAAATAGTGTAAATGAACAACCTAATAAATAGTGTTTATTATTTTTGTTTTAATTTCTCAAGAACAATGAAAATGTATAAATTCACTATCGTATGTTTAGGTTATATTACAATTCTAATCCTTACTTTTTAAAATAATAAACATTTCTGAAAAGTGAACGTAGTTAAAAAAGTGGTGTCATGGAAAAAAATATCCTTTTGATACTACATCCTATTGTGGCACATTTGTTCATGTTTGCCAGATATAAAATATTAAGAACATTGGATAAAGACATGAAAACAATCAAACTGCTACATCACAAAGAGAAATATGTAATTTAGCAAAGAAATCATGAAAACTGATTCCTCAACAATTTCTGATAGCTAGGCTTGAGGTTGAGTCTCTGATGGAAATAATCAACAAGCACAACTTATAAACAACAATGAGGAGGTGGAGTAATGTTTTGGGCTAGTATTATAGGCAGAAAAAGTTGGTCATGGCCAAGATAAATGCAGATAATTACTTTAAGTTCTTGGAAAAGACATTTTTATATGTACATACGTCTGATCAAAAAGTATCAGGATTGTTGTAATGGAAATGAAGCTAAATATGCAGAAACCACTTGATTGACCTTTATTGTGCATGAATACTAAGTTATAACTTTCTCACTCATTTCCATTGTTTATAGAAGTGCTTAGAAGAGTGTATAGAGTGTGGTCATCTCACCATATCACAGAGGTTACATC